CCAAAACATTGCCGACCATCGTCATATGGGGCGGAAAGTTACCATGTGCTTTTTCGACCTCGAGAAAGCTTTCGACACCGTGTGGCACCGTGCATTACTTGCTAAACTCTCCAAAGTTTTCGGTGTGTGTGACTCAGCGCTGGAGTGGATTACAGACTACCCATCTGACAGAACGCAAGTTGTCTTTGTAGGTGGACTTCTCTCAGATGCTTCACCTGTTCTGTCCGGAGTGCCCCAGGGATCCATCCTAGGGCCCCTCCGTTTCCTAGTGTATATAAAATTTAATGATCTTCCCAGTCATGTTGAAGGTGTGTCCTTATTTGCTTACGATACTGCACTGCTCCGGTTCAATGAGTGTCTAGACAGGCTGCGAGACAGTCTCTAGCGCGGTATCAACGAAATCCATCAGTGGATGACTACCTGGAGACTAAAACCTAATAACGCCAAGACTGAGATATTATTCCTGCCGAACTCAGAGCCAACCTATGCATTCACTCTGCCCGGATCCCTCACAGACCTCACAGTGGTAAAACAACACAAACATCTTGGTTTGGTCATTGACTCAGACTTATCGTTTAGTAGACATGTCGACTATATCTGTAGCAAAGTCAGTAAAGCTGTTGGCTACCTCGTGTCTCACTGCTCCCACCTACCGCTTGAATGCATTCTCCTTTTTTATCATTGCTATATTCTCCCCATTTTCTCTATTGCTCACCCGCCTGGTCATCCCTACTAAGTAAATCGTTAATGAGTACCCTGGAAGTCAACAATAAGAGTCAACAATATCCGTTAGTTACATCCCGAACTTTGCGTACAGATAGAAAATGTGTTGTCGCTACAATGGTTTGGTGTTACTCCTCGTCGAGGTGTTAACAATGCAACTTAATTTGCTCACTATGTTCTTGTCACTATTATTATTTCTAATATGGCAATAAGTAGGACGAGCTGAAGCGACATGTGGACTACTTTATTAACAATGTAAGCGATGGAGACGATGCAAGAAACAACCTAAAGGGTAAGGAAAAATACATGTAAGAAGAAAAAGGGCAATGGAAAAAAAAAAGATGATTCGAACAAGTTTTCGTACAACACTCTTCAGGAATCACCGTTGTACTAAAGAACAAAATGAGAACAAAGGAAATAATATAGCAATCAAGGTAGGGTGACACGATACAATGACAGCACTAGAATATCGAGGTGCGATTTCTCACAAAAGTGTGCAGAAAACAAGGGTATACAAGTAAGAACTAAGCGTGACAAGTGTGTATCAGCAACAAAAAACAAAAAAGTGAGAACGAATGATAATAATAACAATAATAAACAAGAAGGTGACAAAACACATTTAGGCACAAGTGGCAACAACGTTGCCACACTACACAACAGAACATTATTTGAACAATTTTAAGGTAATAACACTATCTTTCTGGACACACAAATTCGGCTTATGAATGCGCTGACAAACAGCTTCCAAAACTTGTAACTGCAAAAGATAACCATGACGAGCACGGCACAAAACAGAAAAACAGGAATCAGAATAAGTACGACAACAGTCAGTACTAGAAACCAAATGATTGTATACTGAAGACTTGTTATTACGAGACGGACGCACACAATCTCGACTCACGCGCACACCCTCACACTCACTCTCACCCTCACTCAGCTCACCTTCCCCCTCACTGTCCGAATCAGAACCTGCTCCGTCATCCACCGCGGTTTGACTCTCCTCCTCACTTGCATCGTCCTGCGTCTCACCTTCACCACCCACGCCAACCCTGAATGCCGTTGCCTTCACGTCAGTCGTCGTCCTTTCCGATTGTTTCCTTTGTATTTTTACCGTGAATTCATAGGTCCGGTTGTAATCTGCTGTAGATCTCCGTGGTCTGTCATCTGCTGCTTTGTTTTGTGGATTAGTTGTTGTTGTTGTTGGATGTGAACCTGGTGTTGTTGTTGGATGTGCAGCTGGTGTTGTTGTTGCAGCCATGGTTGTTGGTCTTTCTGTTGGATCCAGCTCTGGTTCCGGTGGGACAAATCGACCGCCGCGGGTGCTCCCCACCAACACAGACCTCGAAGGAGGAGGGTCAGGGGGAGGCAGAGGTGCTGTCACCACTCGAGGCACAGCCCCATGCAAAGCACCCAGAGACACAGACTTAGGCACACCCGAGGGCTGCACCAATGGCGGTTCCGCACGCACCTCCAAAGAGCTGCCAAGCTCCAGCCCGTCCAACACAGATGTCAGAGGGGGAGTGGCAGACAGCGGCAGGGAACTATCCTGCCGTCTAGGTGATGGGTTTTTCCTAGGCCTCCCGCGTTTGGGCCTCTCAGATTGCGCACTGGGTGGAAGGATGTGAAGTGGAGTGTGTTGTTTGATACGTGCGTTCAGGTGCTGAACAGTCCTACCAACATACCGACTAGCACAATGTCGGCATTCGAAGTTGTAGATAACATGACTGAGGTGGAGGGTTGGTAGGACGTCCTTCCGCACCGTGAACGCACGCATTGTTGTGAAGACTGGCACAAAATGTACTGCATAATAAGTACGACGGACGATAGACTTGACTGCGTGACACACTTTGATCGATTCCTGCCCCTTCCATGGCAAACATAGATAGACGGGACAGCGAGGTGGACCAATCAGCACCGATTTCGGTTTCTGCTCCATGGACAGAAACTTACGCAACAAGAATTCCGGACTTACGCAACAAGAATTCCAGACGCAGGACGATGCAAGTGAGGAGGAGAGTCAAACCGCGGTGGATGACGGAGCAGGTTCTGATTCGGACAGTGAGGGGGAAGGTGAGCTGAGTGAGGGTGAGAGTGAGTGTGAGGGTGTGCGCGTGAGTCGAGATTGTGTGCGTCCGTCTCGTAATAACAAGTCTTCAGTATACAATCATTTGGTTTCTAGTACTGACTGTTGTCGTACTTATTCTGATTCCTGTTTTTCTGTTTTGTGCCGTGCTCGTCATGGTTATCTTTTGCAGTTACAAGTTTTGGAAGCTGTTTGTCAGCGCATTCATAAGCCGAATTTGTGTGTCCAGAAAGATAGTGTTATTACCTTAAAATTGTTCAAATAATGTTCTGTTGTGTAGTGTGGCAACGTTGTTGCCACTTGTGCCTAAATGTGTTTTGTCACCTTCTTGTTTATTATTGTTATTATTATCATTCGTTCTCACTTTTTTGTTTTTTGTTGCTGATACACACTTGTCACGCTTAGTTCTTACTTGTATACCCTTGTTTTCTGCACACTTTTGTGAGAAATCGCACCTCGATATTCTAGTGCTGTCATTGTATCGTGTCACCCTACCTTGATTGCTATATTATTTCCTTTGTTCTCATTTTGTTCTTTAGTACAACGGTGATTCCTGAAGAGTGTTGTACGAAAACTTGTTCGAATCATCTTTTTTTTTTCCATTGCCCTTTTTCTTCTTACATGTATTTTTCCTTACCCTTTAGGTTGTTTCTTGCATCGTCTCCATCGCTTACATTGTTAATAAAGTAGTCCACATGTCGCTTCAGCTCGTCCTACTTATTGCCATATTAAAATTATTGTCTCCTCGTCGAATTATTATTATTTCCTTCGAGTTTTGTGTCGTGCAGAACTTGATAATTTTCCACCTTGCCACGAGTGTTGTTATCTCATATCTTTACGCTATATAAGTTTTAGTCTTTCCAACTTGAGCCATTCCCTGTAAAATCCTTGATGAGAAGGGACCAAAAACGTTCGGATAATTTGACAAGTGCCTGATTTTGACTGGATGTGTGTTTGCGTGGATACTTACGACCCAACACGTACCTTCGTTATTAAAAAAAAAATAATAATAATAATAATAATAAAACACCGCTCCCGGCACGAAGAGCTAGATTGGGCTTTTCCAGGAGAACGGTCTTCTGCGGGTTAGGATAATACCCATACTTTGGACCGACATCGGATATCACATGCCAGTACGACAGCAATGTCAGCACCTTTTCTGCAGCAGCCTGATCATTGGCATACCACATTTGTCCCGGAGAGTGGCAGACCTGCCAATGCCGAAAGAGGGGAATCAAGGCCAAAGCATAAAAGGCCATTGCTAATGGGTCGCCTTGACAAGTACCCTCTCTCGACTGGATCACTGCACCACCGTCCAGGAGAAGTGGGATGTCGCTTTCGTACGTGTTGATGAACACACTTTCGACAGCAGGTAAAGTAGTATAGGGGAGGGGGTTCTCGCTCACCTGAGGGTGAGCCAAAATCAACTTTTTCGATTGGCCCTATCCGGCCAATCTCTCAAGTCTCTACCCTCCCCTATACTACTGTATTGAAGGATAGACCCTCCAACTACTGATTTTCCCAATCTCTAAAGTTGGCTCACCCCAATTCCAGAAAAGTGAGCCAACTTGCTCCCTCCAAGAAATGAGACCGAAATCGGAAGTGAGCCAACTTGAGCTTTTTTCACTTACCCCGATTTAATCTATATTAGAGGATCTGAGGGCTCTCAAACTCGATCTTGATTCACTTCGAGGACTGATTGGGATCGGTTCCTGAGTCAACTTCGGGAAATCCAGCTTTGGATGAGGATTTGGATATTGTTAAGCTAACTTTGGACCAACTTTCTGAAAAGACATTTCACAATCCTAAAATGGGCAACTCATACCCATTTTCCATCTCATCATCAACAATATATTTCCCATCTTCTTGCTCTCGTGTTATCTATTCAGCATACTCAACTGTTTCCCATTTTAGTTTTGCTAAGGCATTGACCATTTCCATATCTCTTTTCTTGTTTTCATCAACTTTTTTTGTAATTGGTGGTCTCCCCTCAACAAGATTAGTGTTTCTTCTGTGGGTATGAACGTTGTATTTTTCACCTGATCATCTTTACATGAGGTTGGTGGATTCGAAAGTGTGTAGGTCTTTATCCTTCTTTCTATGATATCTTTTTTTATTTGTCTTTGAAATACAGCAGTTGTAATTGGAATGAGAAGAAGAAGGAAAAGGAGGTATATCAAGTGGTTAGATTTACCCGATGTTCCCGATGAAATTCCCGATGTTGTCGGTGATGCCGATGTATTCGTTGGTGTCGGTGTTGTTGGAGCTACCGTTGTTGACATCGTTCTCTGTATTGTAGGTATTAACCTTGTTGGTTTTCCTGTTGTTAGCGGTGCCACAGATGCTCCTGGTACATTATAAGGAGAAATAAGTGGTTGAGAAGGAACACAGACAATATGATCGCCCTCTACCCAACATTTATTCCCAGGAAATGACAAGGAATGTTAAACACTACACAACATGAAAATTTCTAAGAGGACAGATATCATTTTCAGTTTCATCATATTTATTCTATCATAAACCTTTTCTTTTTTCCCATCAGACCATACCAGTTACATCAAAGGTTGAGGGTGGTCTTGGTAGATAGTTCCCACCAAGCTTATCTGGTAATGACATCGGATCAAATTCCAATCTTACTGGTGGGTGTGTTTCTAAGTTTCTTGGATCATTTTCATGGTCAACACTCATCGAACATTTGGAACTTTTTATGAGATAAACGACAGCACCAACTGTCGGAATAGTAATCAGAGATAACAGGTAGAGTTAGGGGTCTGTCAAATGAAGGTTGTTCACGTTTCCTGGCTTCGTCTGATCATAAAGTGGTTGCGTAGTGGTATGGTCTGTTGGCGGTGTTTCACTAGGGATATCAGCTACCAGTAGGAAGTCATCAGTGTATAAGCATCTTGTATCTCGTCCTGATTGCTGCAAGGTGTAGTCTGATTCTTCTTTTTCTGTTTTGTGCCGTGCTCGTCATGGTTATAAGTTGCAGTTGAGTGTGTTAGAAGTTGTTTGTCAACGTATTCATAAGCCTTATCGGTGTGTCCAGAAGGACAGCATTATTCGTCTGAAATTGTTCTAGTAGCAGCTTGTTCTGTCTGTTTGGCCCTGGTTGGCCATGGTGTCATATCTTGTGTCACAGTATACTAGTAGTCTTTACAAGTTCGTTAAGTGCTTTCGCAGTTTTTCCTGTTATTACCTTAGTGCTAGGATTATCATTTTCATAGGTATTGTTTCTTCTCACTCCATTTCTCTTTATTAGTATATTTCTGAACTGTTTTTCATAAGTACAACGTAACTTCCTGAGGAGTGTTGTGCGAAAACTAGTTCGAAGTACGATTTTTTGTTCATCATTTTCTCCATATCACATTTTTTTTCTTCCATGTTCTTCACTGCCTTCGTATCCACTCGTTTTTTGTATACAATAAAAGCCTTTGTGAAATGTCAGTTCAGCTCGTTCCGTTGATCGCAATTCTAAAATTATAATTATAATTAGGGTTTTCAGTACTCATGATCACCCAGTTCCCATTCATCAATGAGAACGTATCCACTCGCAGTTGGTTTTGGTTTTGTCAGTGTGTTGCTGATGACGGTCAGATATGCTGTCGTTACATGATTTTCAGTAATGTATCGGATTACCGCTTTTTCCCCCAACACATCTCGATACGGTACATGTAAACGTCTTCTGCGACCACTTGTTTCTTGATCAACTATAAAAAGATCCTCAGTGACTATCAGTTTGTTGGTTGGACTTTTGTTATTTGGAAAAGCATGAACTATGGCTTCTGGTGGAGTAGTTGATGAGCTTGGGATGATATTCTTCAATTTTTGGACTTTCACCTCTCCATCCTTTCTATTAACATATTCCTTTGTTGTTGCTGAGTAATTCTCTGTTGACTGTCGGAGATTGATGGTGTGTTTCAATCCCATGTTAAGATTTCCTTTCATCTGGTTGGCTCCACTCGTCCAGCGAGTCTGGCTTTGTGATGTGTTGAGATATTCTGATGTCACCACAGATGTTCCTGTTGATGGTTGCTTTACATTCACAATTTCCATTCCACCCAAGTCAAAATGTCCTTTCATGTTCAGTGTTCCACTCACGACCAGTCGTGTTTGATCATCATCAACAAACTTGCTCAATGAAGTTTATTTTTTCCTAACTCACTTCTGACCAACCCCGTTGGAGCCGCACAAGTGGAACTCACACCATCAAAACCAAGATGGCAAATTCTATGATAGTTCATGTCAATATGTATTACGTATGCCAGACCACGACGCGTGGCGTGGCATCAGTAAAACATGGATGTGACACATGCGATTTAGGCCTTTGGCCTCTGGTTGGTGGATCTGATCAATCCTCCCCACCGTTTAGGAGCCGCATCTGACACCTGATCATGGGGTGGTGGCGTCCTACGGAAGAGGAAAGGTGGTTCTTGACCAGGGAGTTGTTCGACACCTTGTTCTTGACCGGCATGGTACGCGAACGAGTCACATTTGTTTTTCATGTCAACATGACCATTCACATCTCCACCAGTTTTATTCAGCTTTTATTCACTGATGACAAATAAATCCCTCTTTTTGGCATAGGAATCAAGACTGATCTTATTAGCTTCCAAGGCGTTTCCAAATTTAGAACCCATCTTCCTTATCTGAGCCGCAATCAGCGAAAACGACCCTTATAGGTTTCGTAATTTGTTCGAGAAAAAGGTCGATTTGTGACGTTCAACGATTTTTGGTCGCGCTGCGAACAGTGCAAAGTGTTCGTATTGAACTCCTTGCTTGAACTTGAAGTAATTTTATTTTGAAGTTGAAGTGGTGTCGAGTGGCGACTCGAGTGTTCCTCGATCTTGTTGCGATGGCTGCGGACTCCAGAGTTGTTCGCAGAGCTGAGCACACGCGGCAGTCATTGTGCACAGCTAGCTCGAGCCTGCAGGGGAGTGGATGCTGAAGTAACCGCTAAAGATCAGAGTGAGGATGAGACGTTCTTCGGTTCCGACGTCGATGTCAACAGTGAGGCGGAATCGCAGCCGTTCCTCCTGCTGCGGTGTGGATCAAGGTGGCCGATGATTCGGCAGAGTCGGGAGATGAGGAGTCGTCAGCTGAGATAACTTCTGAGTTTGGAGCTAGTGACGGGGCCTACGGCAGCCACGTCGTATCTTCATCTGCGGAAGAAGAAATGGAAGATTGCGGAACGACTCGACGCAGGATGAAGCTGCGAAAATGTCGATCATATCTCCGCACTCTTCAGCTATTCTTGCTGCCTACTGCACTGTTTCAAAAGTATTCAGGCTGCCCACCCATATTAGAATGCTGAATATTTATTGTACACATACATCGTATCCATACATTGCACAACTTTGGAGTATCTCTTGTATATTGGTGCATACACCCGTTTTGAATCGCAATAATAAACTTTTTATTTGCTGAGGTCCTTCAGTAGATGTGGTTCAAGAAATTTCTTACCAAAAGGGAATTTTGAAAATGTTGACCCTAAGGGCTGTTTTTGCTGGTTGAGGCCCATCTATCTATATATTGAGGCCCATCTATCTATATATTTTTTTCATACAATAAGAGTTGTACATGACTCTTATTGTTCGTCTCAAGATAAAGTAAACTTAGTGCGTAACCTTGTAGATCGTGCGAAGCGTATTTGTTCGTCCTGCAAGCTGCAGGAAGAGCTTGATTTTCTCCGGTCAGTTTTTGTCAAGAACGGGTACCCTGAGTTTTTGTTGCAGAAGTTCTTGAAAGTCGAACAAACTACGAAGGCTCCTATGATTGGTCCTGCTCGTTGTCTTGTTTATTTCTGTTTGCCGTGGAAAGGGCATGAGTCGACTAAAGTTTGTAGTGCAGTCAAGTCTGTTGTTGGTCGAACATACTACGCAGTGCACTTCGTGCCAGTCTTTACGACGATGCGTGCGTTTACGGTGCGGAAGAATGTCCTACCAGCCCATCACCTAAGTCATCTTATTTACGACTTTGAATGCTGCCAATGCGCTAGTCGGTATGTTGGTAGGACTGTTCAGCACCTGAACGCACGCATCAAACAACACACACCACGTCACATACTTCCACCTTGCGCACAACAACTAAGACCGAAGCGAGGGCGACCTAGAAAACAACCAATAACGACACAGCTGTTGCCCACACAACCCGCGGATCCTGGCTCACAGACTGTGCTTGCTCCGCCGTTGCTGGTAGCGGTGGTGGAGGAGAATGGGTGTGGTGGCTCATCGGGTCGGCTTGTGTCGCCGCCTTTGCTCCGGCCGTCGGTGGTTCCCTCATCAGTGCCCCCGGCGGCTTTGGCTGAGGCGGTGCCGCTTGCGGTCCCGGTGCCACTGCCTCCTCCTGATCCTCCACCATCGGTTCTTGCGGCGGTGGAGCTTGCCAGTGGGAGACCGCGAGCATCACTGACAGCTGCATTAACACTACAAATGCCGACTCAAAAAGACGAACCTTGCATATCAGTAGCTTCCACACCAACACCAACAACGCAATCTACAGCAACCACAGCTCGAACTCAGATGACTTTCTCCGCACACCTGAGGAATGAGGCTGCGTCGCTCTGCACTTCAACATCAGCAGTTAGAGCAGCGCCAGCAATCAGTCGATCTTCCTTGCAAAGACAGGGATGGGTCATGCCTTTTTCTCAAGCTCCAGAGTGTCTTGGCAGGGCGTTCAACGTCTTCGCAAAGCAAGGATGAAAGTCGTCCTCGACAAAGTGTTCCGAGCACAACACTGTGAACGATATCGCAGCAAACTGTGGCCCTCTTCTCGCCAGATAGCGAGGATTCAAGAGTGTGGAATGCCAGCATACCCAGGGAATGCATAGAAAGACAAGTGGGTTTCTGAGATAAGCCACTAGGGATGACGGTTGCTGCAAACAAGAACCCAACAGTGGTCCTTGGAAAGCATTTCGGAACTTCTTCCTTCCTTCAGAACTAAAAAAACTTTAAATGAAAAAGGCTGGGAAGTACATACATGAACATCGCGTCTGGACCGTAAAAACACAGCCTGTCACAGGAAACTTGATCACGTCCTGCAGCAACCCTGCATGCTTGATGTATGCCAAGTGTGCAGCGCGTGCACAGCATGCCCCGTCTCGACCCCTCTCGTTTATTGTGTAAAGGGTCTATTCTCCTCGCTCGACTCTATTTACTCGTCGTTCGAAACGACGTTCTGTTGTGCATCATTTTCAGGAGCCTGCTGTTCCTGGTTTCCACTGCACGTCGCCTGTTCGTCCTTTGACACGGCCGCAGTTTCTTCCGAACTACCTGGAGCGGAATCTGACGCGCCTTCGACTTAAGTACTGTCCATCACTCTAATTACTGCGAGTAACCATCCATTCTTAAC